CTTTATTTTTTTATGCGGCTTTTGGCTACTCTAACATTCCCCCTCTGAAGAGGTAACCCAAAAATCTTTTAAGGATTAGATAAAAGCTCCCTAAATACTTTTGACATTTTTGGACTTTGGAGCAGAGTGTGTTGCTAAGAGGCCTGTCTTAGTTTGTTTCTTCATTGCTGTGATAAAACACTCTGACCAGTGCCAACTTGGGGAGGAAAGGGTTTATTTGTCTTACATCTCCCAGGTTGCACGCAGTTCATCAGGGAGCCCAAGGTAGGAACTCAGGGCAGGAACCTGGAGGCAGGAGCTGGAGCACAGGCCATGGAGGAAGGCTGCTTACTGGCTTGCTCCCTTGGCCCCTGCTCAGCCTGCTTTCTTATGCAACACAGGCCCACCTGCCCAGGGGTGGCACCACCCACAGTGGGCTGGGCCCTCCCACATCACTCATCAAGAAGATGCCCTTCAGACATGGCCACAGGCCAGTCCAATAGAGGCAATTCCCCGACTGAGGCTCCCTCAACCCAGGTGTGTCAAGTTGACACTAAAGCTATCCAGCACGGCACAAGGACATTTTGACTTTTAGCCAAGAAACTGGCTACTTTTCTTTGGGGCCCTTTTACCCGAACTGCCTAGCCAATTCCTGCTTCCTATTCTTATCACACCATCATCTGCCCAAATTGCCAATAGGGAATAGGGATGCAGACCGCTCTGGCTTCTTCCATGCTGAACAGGGACGCAGGGTGAGTCTAAAAGACTCCCAAATTGCATAACTTTTATTGGAGAGATTGCTCAGTGGTTAAGAACACTGATTGTTCTTGCAGAAGACCCGGATTTGAATCCCAGAACCCACATGGCAGTAGCAACTGTCCTAACTCCAGTTCCAGGGGATCTGACAGCCTCATCTGTCCTCTGCAGGCATTGTACAACATGGGTGCACTTACCTACACACAGGCAATACAGGCATACACATAAAATAAAAATAATAGCGAAATAACCATATAATTAGAAGAAGTATTTCATTACAACAGCATTGACATATTCAATAACAATTTCCAGAGCTAAGATCCATCTCTTTGAAAACTGGCTGTAAATTTTTAGGTTTACAGTTATGGGAAACCCTGTCTCAAAAAGACCAAAAATAAATAGATAAATAAATAAATAAATAATAAAAAATTTTTTTTAAAAAAGAAGACATTGAAAACAGAGTCAGAGGGGCTGGAGAGATGGCTCAGAGGTTAAGAGCACTTACTGCTCCTTTAGAGGACCCAGATTCAGGTCCTAGCACTCATGTTGGGAGGCTCACAACTGCCTGTAACTCCAGCTCTAGGGGATTAGGCAATCTCGCCTGACCTCCTCGGGCACCCTTTGCACCCCCACCCTCACATGGAGGTACACATGCAGACACACGTACACATAACTAAATAATAAGTAAACAATAAAAATAAATCTAGACTAAAAGGAGTCATATAGGGGCTGGAGAGATGGCTCAGTGGTTATGAGTGCTTACTGCTCTTGTAGAGGATTGAGTTCAATTTCCAGCACCCACATCAGGTGGCTCACAACTGCCTGTAGCTTCAGCTTCAGGGATCTGACACCTCTGCCCTCCTTAGGCAAACCACACA